TTATACTGAAGAAGACCGCGTGCGGTTCGACACCGTTTATAGAATGATTGTATTTGCGTTAGTTTTAATATAATGACTGTAGTTTTATAATTTATACATGTAATAAATGGTAGTTGACTGAAATCTCGAATATTCAGCTCGATAAGTTGGCCTTATATTTATCACTTTGATATTTTTAAGTTGCTGGCCTATGTTTACAGGAGGTGGACATTTTGAACATTTTCTATAATTGCAAGACGAGAAATAGGATATAAATTTTTTATTACATATATAAATCTAAGTAACTAAAAAACTAATCTTTTTCGGATCTATGTTCATATGAAAACTTTTTATCTTCTATAAACATGAGGAATCCATTTCTTAATTTTGAACACTACTTGAGAAACACCTGTAATACACTGTATATACACATTGTATTTTATATACAATAAAACTTAAAACAATAAGAAGTACTTGATTTAAGAAAGCAAGTATTCATTATTTACCTTGAGAGTTATTATTACCTGAATGTCACAAAATGTCTTTCTGATTTAGTCTGTCGTTAAATTCCACAAATGCTCTAGGAAATGTTGGCTCGCTTGGAATGCTTTCTGAAGATGGTGTAATTTCTCCTTGAAGCAAAATTCATACTCTATTATATGCAAAGGTCCAGTATGTATGTAAATCGTTCTAGTTTTTAAAATCATGCATATATATATATATATATTTATATGGGGCATCCTTTCTCAAAACGGTCACCCCTTTGCACAATTTATTTCGTGAGATAAATAAGTTTTGAAGTGCTTAAAATTTTCATTAAACTTTCTATTGTTAAATGCCATGTGGCAAATTCGAAACTGCAAGACTCAAAATGGCGGGCAAAACAAAAAGCGGAAAATTGAGATTCCGCAAAAATTGACTATTTTGAGTATCTCGAATTTGGAATTGATTTGTTTACCAAATGATACTTTATGATGAAAAATCAATCATAATTAATTTTTAAGTTGAGCCAAAAATTGGTTTCAGAGATATAAGCAATCAAAGCCCATACAGCACAGATTATTGCAATTGTATTGCAGCAACGTTGCAATGTTGCAAGTTGCAATGCAACATTATAAAGACATTGCAGAGATATAGGTGCACAAAATTCCAGCACACTTGTAGCAACATGACATTAATATTTCGGAAATATTGCATGTAATCCAAATTCTATAATTTATATATTGTAATATACAATATATAAATTAACTACAACGTATTTTCATTAATGATTTATTTACATTTATATACCTGTATATGCAAAATTAGTTTATGGTTGCAATAACAATGCATTATTGCAAATTTATAACATTGCAATATTGTTGTAATATTTTGTTGCAATCTTCCAAAAAGCGGACATTTTAACATTGCTGCAATTCAACAGCAATGATGTAGCAACATTTTGCAGTGAATTTGCAATATTGCAATATTGCGGTGAAAGATTGTTGTAATGTTTTTGCAATCTATCGGTGCTGTATGGGAGTAGTCAAAATTATAAATTTTGACTAATTTGATCACCTATGATCAAAACACTTCCCATGGGGCGTTCTTTGTGAAAAAGGCCATCCTCCTTGCACATTTTATTTCTTGAGATAAATAAATGTTTAAGTGCTGAAATTTTCGTTGTCCCTTGTACTTTTGAATGCTTGTGGGTTATGAGACATGTAAACGCGTATATTATTTTGTCGCGGCCGTCGTGAAGGATAACACATTACGCTTGCAGCTTTGTGCAACCGTTCCACTGGGATTATTCTGATCCATCGAAAATCGATGTAAAGAGATTTTAATGTAGTGCAAACAGTAGTTAGGATAACTACTGGAGAAAAATAGCTTGTATTCAACTCGTAATCAGCTCGTAATCATAGACGATCAAATTAGTCAAAATTCATAATTCTGACTACTTTGATCGCTCATATCTCTGAAACCAATTGTCGGTTCAACTTAAAAATCAATTATAATTAATTTCTTATCATAAAGTATCATTTGGTAAACAAATCAATTCCAAATTCGCGAAACCCAAAATAATCAATTTTTGCGGAAGCTCAATTATCCTTTTTTTGCTTTGTTCGTTATTTTGAATCTGGCAGTTCCGCATTTGCCACACGGCATTTAAAAGTAGGTTTAACGAAAATTTTAAGCACTTTAAAAGCTATTTATCTCAAGAAATAAAATGTGCAGGAGGGTGGCCGTTTTGAGAAAGAATGTCCTATATATATATATATATATATATATATATATATATATACAGGGTGTCCCATAATTTGCGAACCACTGCAAATGGGCAGATAGAGTGTGTTAAACTGAATAGAAAAGTCCTGTATCATTTTGCGATATTCGCAATAATTATTGAGTTATTTATTAAAATATCTAAACGAATAAGCAGGTAGAAAGCATTATTTGATCGAGAGGCGGCGTCATGCAGCGAGCGGCGACCAATGTAGTAACGCCGAAAAGTAAGATGATAATTTTGATACTAAGCGGCATATAACAAATAAGTCATCCGACATGCACACCGAGTCCAACGTACCGCTTTCGACCCGCTCATTCGTTTAGATATTTGGGTAAATAACTCAATAATTATTGCGAATATCGCAAAATGATACAGGACTTTTCTATTCAGTTTAACACGCTCTATCTGCCCATTTGCAGTGGTTCGCAAATTATGGGACACCCTGTATATATATATATATATTTATGTATATATATATATATATATATTGACATATGTGGTCTGTCAAAAAAGGAATTAAATTAAATATGTACCGCATATTATGGTAACGTTGTAAAAATCATAATCATATGCGGAATGTAAAATATAATTTTTCCTTCAAAAATTACAAGTTTTAATTCATTTAGTTGTATTTATATATGTCTCATTATAACATTTTTTGTAAGTATAAACCTCATTGTTTTCATGAATCGTTATTCAGAGAAAAATATTAAACAAATATAAGCGATAAAAGTTAATAATTAGTACTTATATTTTAACGCATGCTTAGATTATATTATTTCATAATAAATTTTGATGATTTGAAATAAATGTACATACACAACATTTTATATACATTTATATGCATATTTTTTAAAACTTATTAGATTTTGAAATATTTACAAATAGGAGCTTTTAAAAATACTTATACTTTACAAATGAACTCTTACCGACTTCATTTCTTTTTCTCACAGTGTCGTTTTCAAAATAATACTGAACAGATCCGATATTTGATGACACGTACTCATGGACATCGATGAATCTGAAGGATGGGTTATCCTAGTAATAAATATGCATCATATAACTTATAAAAATCTACTATTCCATTGAATCACATGATAAACAGTACATAATGTGAGATTAGATTAAAACTTATTTGGCAAATAATTTAATAAATAAAAGTCATTGTAGTAATAAATGCAAAATTCCAAATAGTTAAATTAATATATATGTGATAAATGTCCCAACTTTCAAATCAATGTTCAACTTTATTACAAGTAGAAATAACCTTTGCTTTTCTTTCGAGATGACGGTTTTCGATTTTTTTATAATTATAGAAATGACATGTATAAAGGTAAATTAAATTATTATAAAATATCCAACTAGATACATATGTACAATAGATATACACTACTGTGCAATATATAAAATACTGTATAATATATAAAATACTGTGTTAAACACCGTTTATAGAAACTGTTTTTATTGTGTTTCTGATCAAAATATCTTTTTAAGTATCAAAGATTTTTCTTGCATTAAAGAGAAAGTTGCTTAAGGAACGCAAGATTAGATTAATAAAAATTATAAAGAATTTATAACAGTTTGTCTTACAAGCCTGGTTCTTTTTAATTGTTAAAATAGTTTTGTCTAATAATTGGGTTTTTATATGAGTTTATGTACATATGTTTACGTATATATATATACTTTAAATGATAAATTGTATATTAATTGGAACATATAAAGAATAATAGCTGTTGTGTATATTATTAGCTTCGAAACTGTTTGATTGAGAACGCAATTTATTGTATGGAATTTTATTTTACCGATTTTCTATTTCAACATTTAGTAGTTTTGTACGCATGCAATATAATTTTACTAAAAAATTCTAATTTTCTATATTGATTACTTTAAATAACAAATAACTTACTAAAAATTTTATACAAAAATCAATAAATATAAATATTTAAAGAAAGTTTTAGAAATCACAAAAGAATAATGTGAAAATGTATCTGTGCATAAAAATATGATATAAATACGTTTGTTTGTCATGTTAACAGAAGATGAATCTCATACAGCACAAAACATTTCAGAGACTTTCGCAGAATTTATTCAAAAATATTTTATATACGTCTTAAACATGTGAAAATGTCCGCTATTTTTACACAAATATGTTTATGAAAGATTGTATAAACGTTTCAAATGTTACGTTTTCTATGTTATGTTTCTTAGATGTTATAATGATGTTTCAGTGTTACTTGAAACGTTGAAACGTTTCTGCAACATTTCTGTTGAGTTTTGTGCTGTGGGATGGAATGAATAACAAAATCATTAATATTAAAAATATTTTTTCATAAACAAGACAATTATATCAACATATGTTACGTTTAAGTTTAAATATTCATCACAATTAAATTTACTTTATTTAGTAACAAAATAACATCAATCTTTAAATATATGACGTAAAATTAAACTTTACTTTTATTATATCATTAATTTTTCATAAATAGTGACAGAGTATAAAATATTAATATCACAAACAATCTATTGTCTGAAGTGTATATAACATTTAATTTATTCGCGGGATCTAATATTTGTTCTGTCTTGCTGCGCTAAAGTTGAACATGTCCAACTTTAAGGCTCTCGTTAAGAGAATAACTGAGCGACTTTAGCAGCAGCATCAAAAAACGTTCCATGTAAAGATGGTAGCGAATGAATAACTAAGCGAATAACCAATAATTCAGTATCATGCGCATGTGCGAAACAAATTTTTGCCAAAACGCTTGCAACTTTTTTTTTATCAGCAACGTGTAAATGATTTAACGCTAGCGATTTTGTCAGCCAGAAATTCGTTTTGCGAGAGCGAAAAGCTTGCGATAAAAAAAGTCAGCGACAAGCGTCAAAAGCAGCATTGTGTAAAACACCCTTAAAGAATGCTCTTATAAAGTTGCAAGCGTTTTGACAAAAGTTTGTTTCGCACATGCACAGGATACCGAATTATTCGCTACTCGCCTGGTTATTCATTTGCTACCATTTTTACATGGAGCGTTTTTTGTCGCTGCTGCTAAAGTCGCCCAGTTATTCGCTTGACGAGAGCGTTAAAGTTGGACATGTTCAACTTTAGCGCAGCCAGACGCAGCGAACATTAGACGCCGCGAATTTAAAATTTTAGACGCTAGCGAATAAAAAATGTGGGTCTAGAAAAAGTTTTTATCAGCGAATACGCTGGCGAATTAAAAAGCTGGCTCAAAGCAAATAAAAGCAGCATCATGTAATGCACTTTTTACACGCCGCGATTTCACAATTTTAGACGCTAGCAAATAAAAAACAAGCATCTAGAAAAAAGTTCACAATTTTAGACGCTAGCAAATAAAAAACAAGCATCTACAATAGAAAAAAGTTTTTATCAGCGAATTCGCTGACAAATTAAGAAAATTGCTCAAAGCGAATAAAAGCAGCATCGTGTAAAGCACACTTTAAGTATAGATCAGAGTGTATAAAAAAATGAATTTTCGGGAAACTGACCTGAGTTATACAATCTTCCTGATCTTTCGAAGAGGACGTGAGAGCCGTCCTCATTAGCATAAATACTTTTAGTAAAACACATAATATTTTTAACATAGTAAGTTTTCTCCTCTTATAGATGTTTGCACTCTATTGGCTTTTATTCTTGACTGGTGACCAACCGCTATTAAATACCATAGAATCTTCTCAATGATTTAAATATATTAATCAATTCAATATCCCTTCAATGTTTCTTGCAGAGTCGAATCTAGATCGCGCGAAGCACTCGTCTCGGATGAAAGACATGAGAGGGCATAGAAATGAACAATAAATTGAACAATTTTTTTAAAAAAAGTTTTTTTATAAAAATGCAAAAATTATATTAACATGTAGCAGTTCAAGTACCTACCAAGCGTATGTTATTTTGACATGCGTTTGTGCGTATGTTGAGAAAGGAAGCGTCAATTGCTAATAGTGCCTCGGATGAGAAAATATCTCGATCCGGCACTGATCATTTGTATAGATTATAAATTGTTAGCTGACGCTTCCCAGTGAGAAATGATTGATCGAATCGTCATTGATTCGACGAATTTGACATTGATTCGACGAATTTCTCACTGAGTTGTTTCTTACGCGCTGCGCGCACTCGGTATGTAGTTGCGGATTTATGAGGATGAGTAAATAAAAATTATTCGAATTTAAATACGAAAGACTCGAGTTTAATTTTTGATTCAACGACTTGCGGACCAACATTATTCTCGTCTTTTTTTTTACAGAAGGGTTAGGAAGAAATAAGTGAATTTACACGGAAAAATTTAGCTACCATAACTAATTTTAGCTGTCCATATATTACACATAAATTTAGTTATCATGCTTAAATTTTAGCTATGGCGATTAATATTTTTTAGATATAACATTCTTCGTTAAACTATGACTAAAAAATATTAATTACCACAGCTACAATTTAGGCACGATAACTAAAATTCAGGTTGTTATACCCATGTAGAATCCTAGGCAAAATTAACCTTTGCAAACCCATGTAGAATCGTACCCATTGCAAACCTATGTAGAATCCTATGAAAAATTAACCATTGCAATCTCATATAGAATCCTATGAAAAATTAACCATTGCAAACCCATGTAGAATTGTATTAAAAATTATCCATTGCAAACTTATGTAGAATCCTACATTGCAAACCCATGTACAATAGAATTGTATGAAAAATTATCGATTATAAACCCATGTACAATCGTAACAAAGGTAATAAAATAAAAAAAAAATTGCGCCAAGTGAAAGTAGAAACTTGTACCAGTGGAAAATTAAAGTTGCAGACATATATAGAGTCGTATAATGAATCAGTAAAAATTTAAATTTGCAAATGTAGAATCGTACCATAAAAAAACTTATCTTTTAAAAAAAAAGATAAACAAGATGCCAAGTCCATGCGCCATGTGAAAAAGAAATAAAAAAATTTTAGTTAAAAAAATTGGGCGCGCTGCTAAGGTTCAAAATTATAATGCACCTTAAAGTAACATTAATTAATTTAAACACAAAACATATTTTAACTGTAATGAGTTTAAAAGTAACAATTTAATTTTAATATTGTTAGAATATTATTTAGCAGCGCTCCCAGTTTTTTTAACTAAAATTTTTTTATTTCTTTTTCACATGGCGCATGGACTTGGCATCTTGTTTATCTTTTTTTTTAAAAGATAAGTTTTTTTATGGTACGATTCTACATTTGCAAATTTAAATTTTTACTGATTCATTATACGACTCTATATATGTCTGCAACTTTAATTTTCCACTGGTACAAGTTTCTACTTTCACTTGACGCAATTTTTTTTTTATTTTATTACTTTTGTTACGATTGTACATGGGTTTATAATCGATAATTTTTCATACAATTCTATTGTACATGGGTTTGCAATGTAGGATTCTACATAAGTTTGCAATGGATAATTTTTAATACAATTCTACATGGGTTTGCAATGGTTAATTTTTCATAGGATTCTACATGAGTTTGCAATGGTTAATTTTTCATAGGATTCTACATAGGTTTGCAATGGGTACGATTCTACATGGATTTGCAATGGTTAATTTTGCCTAGGATTCTACATGGGTTTGCAATGATTAATTTTTCATAGGATTCTACATGGGTTTGCAATAGGATAGGATTCTACATGGGTTTGCAATGGATAATTTTTGTTAATGGCGTGCCCTTAACTGGTCGCCTTTTTTTACCTTTTTTTAAAGGTGAGTTTTTAGAGATTATATCATTCATTTTTGTATATTTTTATGACCGGAATAGAACAATTATTAAACATGTTTATCTAAACTTCTTTGCTTAAAATGATGTGTACAATCATATCCTAGAATCCTGATCATTCCTCCTAAAGCACCCTATTTATATAAATTTACCCATATGTGTGTGTGTGTGTGTGTGTACTAATGTCGAGCATTTTTTATACATTTTCTATTAAATTTAGATAAAAGTTGCAGGATTTCGAAAAAGAAAAAGTTGACACAGACTTTTTCCTAAACGGCGATTTTCAAGGTTATTTAAAGGTCACTTATATTTTCAAAATAGAATTACCTTAATTTTTCTCATATAAATCGATTCCTCGCAATATTTACTATAAAAAGTTGTAAAGGTATAATTTTTACATAATCTTACATAAACTTCGAAATATTACAAATATTTTATTTTATGAAATATTTCAGTTTATGTAAAATTATGTTAACTATCTTTTAAATTATTCACTTTTAGCCATCTTACCCTTACAACCTTTTATAGTGAATATTGCAACAAATTGGTTTATATATATAATATATATATAACATCAGTTATTATTAATTGATGTTTACATTTATTTTTAGACTTACTAGAGCTCAAATGCTCCACATTTTTTGCAAAAACTGTTTATTCTACAGATTTCAAATATGCTTTTAAATGATGATTGAATATTTCCTTTTTTTAATTATTTTTATTATTATTTTTCAATCTCAATCAACTTTTATAACTTTATGCCAGCACGATACAAATACATGTGTCTTTATTTTTTTTATTATTTTCATTATTATTTTTCAATCTCAATCAACTTCTATAACCTTATGCCAGCAGGATACAAATACATGTATGTCTTTATTATTGTATCAACTCTTGTCTTTTCCATGTAACCATGTCTTCATAGTTTGAATTATCCCTTCATCTTCTCAATCTTTCGCAGAGATTTAATTAATTAAATACACTTCACACGAAATAAAGTTTGCTGGAAGATATACAGCAAACGATAACTGTAAAAACATGATTACGTGGAAAGAACAAGAGTTGGTACAGTAAAGGCAAGTAAGTAAGTACATGTAATGTATCGTATTGGCATAACGCTATATCCGCGGAGCAGATAATGTGGCTGTAGAGGTAGTCTGCAGTGCAGCTAATGTGGACGTAGATGTTGATTGAGATAATTGTCTAATATAAAATAGAATTTAAAAATTTAGTTTAAAAAGCTGTTGCATATATAAATAAAGTTTATTTTTTCTAAATTTGGAATATGTTTAATTAATTAATTTTTTAAGTCTATGTTTAATAAATTTTTTAAGTCTGTATTCAATAATTTTATTCATTTGATAAATACATGTATGTCTTTATTTTGATATGTTTAATATAATTAGAAATTCATTATTAATTAGATATGTAAACTATAAATTCATATATAATATTTGAAAATATATGTGAATATTTAAATTTTTATCTTCTCCTTCCTCTCCTTCAATCTCTTTAATATCAATATGTGTATGTGTGTACACGCGCGCACATTTGTACGTATTTATTTAATTATTGGATAGTTGAGAGTACTTAATTGATAAAAAATTATGACAATAATAATCCTTGTTTTTTTTTCTTATTATTTACTCAGATTTTTTTGTCTATCTTATAAGATAAACACTTTAGAGATTGAATATTTCAAGTAAACTAATTGTAAGTAAATTTCACATTAATGCATATAGATGTTTAATCATGAATGTACTAAATAAGTACACAAGACGAACAGTGAGTGAGTGAGTGAGAATGAGAGAGTGTGTGTGTGAGAGAGAGAGAGAGAGAGAGAGAGAGAGAGAGAGAGAGAGAGAGAGAGAGAGAGAGAGAGAGAGAGAGAGAGAGTTAGCCAACATAACCCCGCACGCTGCCGATCATGAATGTACTAAATAAGTACACAAGACGAACAGTGAGTGAGTGAGTGAGAATGAGAGAGTGTGTGTGTGTGTGCGTGTGTGTGTGTGTGAGAGAGAGAGAGAGAGAGAGAGAGAGAGAGAGAGAGAGAGAGAGAGAGAGAGAGAGAGAGAGAGAGAGAGAGAGAGAGAGAGATAGAGAGAGAGAGAGAGAGAGAGAGAGTAGAGAGAGAGAGAGAGAGAGAGTTAGCCAACATAACCCCGCACGCTGCCGATATGGCGGAGCGCCACTATCGCCATCTGTTGTAAAACGTGCGAGATGGACAAAATTACCACTACATGCATCTTGCATGTGTTGTGTACGTGTGATATATGTGTGCGCATGTGTTGTATACGTGTGAATACGTGTAGCACGATACTACTATGTATGCGTGGTCGATGATGATAATGATGATAATGATGATGATAATGATGATAATGATGACGGGGACATTTCTTAATAGAAATTTTTCATATTTCGACTTTGCATTTATATATCTCTGCTTACAAATCACGTAGAGCAGAAATAAAGACACTTTTATTATATAATTCGAACTCAATCTATCGATTAAGTCTAGTATAAACTCGATTGTTTCAGCCATTATTGAGGATTCGAAATATTATAAAGACTCAAATGTCCGACTCGCGTTAAGATACACGGTGTCTCCGCTACGCCCTTAACTGGTCGTGAGACACTACCGTGTCTCTTGATAACGGGGACGTTTCTTAATAGAAATTTTTCATATTTCGACTTTCCATTTATATATGTCTGCTTACAAATTACGTAGAGCAGAAATAAAGACACTTTTATTATATAATTCGAACTCAATCTATCGATTAAGTCTAGTATAAACTCGATTGCTTCAGCCATTATTGAGGATTCGAAATATTATAAAGACTCAAATGTCCGACTCGCGTTAAGATACACGGTGTCTCCGCTACGCCCTTAACTGGTCGCGAGACACTACCATGTCTCTTGATATGGACAGCTAAAATTTAGCAATTGTAGTTAATTCTTTTTTCCCGGGTAGTAATTTTGGATTGAGATACATTTCCTGAAATAAATCTTAGTAGTATGCTAAGAAAATATTTGTGTTGGCGCATATTATTTAGTTACAGCGAAAAATTAATTCTCGGTGTAATTA